CCCTGCTATATTCTCCTGCTTGTTTCACTATACTAGCCAATTTTTTCTTAGTAGTCTCTGAGCTATCATTATGTTTCAGTATAGGTACTATGTCTATCTCGGTCTGCTGGCGAAAATGTAACTTGTTGGATGAACCATATTTCCATTTTTTCTTAAAAAAAAAAAAATTATAAATCGAAAGTACAAATGGTCCAACAATATAGCTTTTTTGCATAGCTCAACTTATGAATTATTAACTAAGGAATTTCCATTAATTTAGCAGGATGATAAAAAAATTAACTTCAATATCTAATATAGAACGGCAGTCAACTTTTTATGGTTTATCGTTTTTTGTGTCTATTTTATCTTTTTTACTTCTCAGGTTGATTCATTTTTGTGTTTGGTCAAAGACTGCAAGCTGCAGACTGTTGATGCGGGATCTGATAGTGCAAAAATTAGATATGGATCCAAAGAAGATGATAATTCTGCTCTGTAATGTCTTTCGGAAATAAAAGGACCTGACTCTGGGAATCCTTAATTTCTGTTATAATGAAGACTTTGGATAATAACTTATCAGATGTAAGAATTTATATAGACTGTTAAACCCAAGGTATCCTTGTTTAATATATCAGTTCGAACAATACTTACGCATTGGATGCCATTTTGTACAGTCCGAAGAATCCAGAATACGGGACCAGTTGCTCGAAGAATTTAAACCTGCTGATGTTTGTCCTATGGTAGCTCAGTTGTTCACAAATACTACAAAGAAAGTATATCAACTGAATTCAAACAAACATAAATCTGTAGGAAAGGTAATTACTTTACGGACAGTTCATTACATCCTATTTTTCGAGGCTGATATAATAAAACTCAAAAAATTCACCAAAGATCTCACATAGAGAAAATCGACCAAGAAACTGGACCAAAACAACTACACAGTTCAATCAATGTTTGAGCTCAGAAATTATCATTGTACCCTTCTGTACAATGGTAGAGACACCAAAAACAGACTCAAACCCACAAAAGGAACCCGAACGCAGCTACTTCAACGAGCCAAAATGAAAACCCCTAAACTGACTCCACTAACTCCTTTTAGAAATGAATCACTAAGATTTACTGTACACAGAAAGAATCAATTTCCAAATCACAGAAAACTTGGAGGAAAAGCATGAAGAAGACGAAGGAGTAGAGAGGCAGAGAGAAGGACTCGTTCTAGAGAGTTCAAGAGTTACCAAAAAATATTACACGATCAACTAGGGCATCCACCAAAGGTCTCGTATATTGAAGACAACATCACCGTAGATCAGCTGGGTGATCCAATGGCTTGGAGTAGCACACGTGGCCTCATGTTGGGCTCGGGTAGTTGGGCCTCTACCTTTGAATTATCGGGCAATAAAAATATAATACCAGCTATTGGGCTAAGCCCTTTTCATCACAGCCCATTGATTGAATTGGATTTTGGCATCACAATCCAAATAGAGGCCTCGTGATTTCTCTCTTACCTTGGGTCAGGTTGCTTATATGGTTGGAATAGAAGATTCTTTTCCTGATTCAATTGGAAGCAACTGTTGATAATAATTTAGGGAAATCTGAATACGTTAATGAACTCTAAGGCACGAAATGAAACGTTATCTTTTAAGAGATGTTTCTCCCCTATTCAACAAAGTCACAACGGGGTATAATAGAAAATCTCTCTCAGGATACAATGGAGGTGTTTGATTCAAATTGTGACTATTTGATCAAACTAAGAAAACACTCGAATATAACTGATTGATGCCAAGAGAAAGAAGGAAAAATGAATTGTTTAATGTATTTGCAAATGAGAATTCGCCCAGAATTTATAGATACTAAGGCAACTGTTTGAATAGGTGTATCCCTTGAAAGTGACTGTTAAAAATGAACAGATGCACATATTCAAAAAATTTTTGAAAATAAAATTCTCTTTCGGGGGCGCTGCCCCCGCGACCTGACCTTGCGCAGCGGCAAACACTAATCCCAGCGGCAAATCATTCACAAAACAAAAAAATTGAACACATGCAAAATGATGAAAAAATATCTAACAGTTTCGCACACGATTTATATTTGGCCGATGAAATTCCAAACTTTTGGAGTTTTGATCAACTTCTTGAATCTGTAAGTCACTCTTCCATTTGGTTCTATGTGATGTTATTTTACTTCAGCAAATAAGACCCCGAGTGGCGAAATTTTCTTGCTGATTCACTAGAATCGAGAAAAACAAGGAGAAAAAGGCTCCTATAGGATCATTTATCTAGCACAGGTAGCTTGGACGACCTAATACAACGAGATGAATACTCATTTTACTCTTCAAATAAAAAATTCTCAGGAACATCACAGAAAGTTAATATGTTTTGTTTTGCTACCTCTCCATAATATTCATCTTCTACAATTTCATCTGAGCTTCTCATATTTTGCCACTTCTTCTATTTGAAGGTTAATTTTTCTGTTGTATTGGGTTTCTTATGCCGTGCATTGCTTTTTAGGTTGAAATTGGCGTAGTTTCAGTAATCTAATTAATTTTAAGTTAATTAATTTTAAGTTATTACTTGATACTATGCAAAAGCATTGAGTCTAGGGCTGGACATGGTCAGGTTCGATTTGATTTTAACGAGAAGCGAACCGACTCGAAATTTTCGGGTATTTAGTAAGTGGAACCGTCAGGTCCAAATTTAATTACGGAACCGTTCGAGTTTGGTTTCATTCGGTTTCGTATTATAATTAAATTTTTTAATATATACAAAGTTACATTAATTTAATTAATGATATGTTCAATATTAGCTCTTACAAAATAGCGTAGTTCAATCTTATATGTTTCACGTCTCTCTTTGTTGAATTCTTCGTAAATTTGATTATTAAAATCACAGAAAGAGAAAAATAGGGAGCTCAAAATAATTAGAGAGATGTTGTAGAGCTTTAATTTGATTTTCTCCGGTAGAAACGACACTACAGTAGTATAACAGATTTGGATAAAATTGAGGTCAATTTGATTAAATTGATTTTGAACTGAAAATTAGAAATAGGAAAATCATATTTTGTGGTTCGAACTAAATTAAGTAGTTAACAAATTTATTTAGAAAAAATAAAATAATTTTACTTATTTAAAATAAATTAATTAAAAAATTATGGAAATTCGATTCTTATTCGATTTTTCGGGCCTTGGCCTATAACCGAGAATCGAACCATACCCGTCGGTTCTTGATTCAAATACCCGTTCGGGTATTTAACTTGAAAAGAACTATCGGGTTCGATTCGGGAGTTTTGTCCAGCCCTAATTGAGTCACTATCAGATCTTATCTAATCTCCAACTTGAATTAAAATTTTACTTTATTCAGTTCACGCAAACTCAAACAACGGATAATATGTCAATATCATCCCACAGTAGTTAATAGAGTTTAAAATTATAATGTAATTTCTTAAGCTTTAAATTATCTTAATGCTAAAAAAAATTGCACTGGTGCAGGTCTTGGAGACTGCACAAGCTGAGAGACTTTCCAACTTTCCATATGCACTGGACCTAGATGAGTCTTATAAAGAAATGGCAAATCTCTACAACTCACTTTTGATGGGAAGGCAGCAGAAAATTGATCTAACAAATCGACATAGTCGAAGAAGTCTTTCGAGCATATCCTCAAGGAATTCTCATGAAATTGAGAAACAGACGGCTTCTCATGTCCTTGCTGATGCAGGTTTCCGAAAGGTACATTCTTTTTTCGTATATATCTCAACTGCCAAATGCTCTGATGATTATTCTGAGTAATTATCAAGCTATGTTGTGTGAGACATGGTCCAACATTTTTAGTATTACACTAATTTTACATACAGTACACGAGTACATTATGCATTAGATTAGTCCTGCTTAATAATTTTGCCTCAGTTCTCTGTTTTCTAAGACTCCGTTTAATTTCTTATACTTGATTGAAAAATAGCAGGGGAGAAATCCAGTTCCGGATATGCAGAAAATTCCACACCTAGCATCTATCGGCGAGGTTTCCACGCTATGTTCAGCTGAATATGAACATAATCCAGAATCTTTTATGCTTCCAGCATCAAGTCCATACGATAATTTTCTAAAAGCTTCTGGATGTTGAAACGATAGAGGAGATTCCTATGTTCTCCAGTGCTTCCAGTTGTGCAAGCAGATTCGGCTTCTGAGAATAGAAAAATGAAGCCTTACAAAATTTGTCATAGAAATGAACAGTGCTACGATCAGGACTGAATGCGCATGTGAATTTCCGTTTGGGTAAAATTCATATAGTTCCTCGGCATATTCCAGGTTTTCTTGCAGAATTTTAGCAAAATATTGAAGGTTTTCATCAGAGTTTAGCCTCACTGATGAAGAAATGCGGTTCTAGTCATTAGTTCTCATCAATGTTTTTACCTTCATTATTATGGAAATGTGCATGTGATTGCTCTCCTCCTTTTTATTTGCCTGTAAAGTGTACTAAATTATTATTATTATTAATTTTTTTATTTTTTATTTATTTTTTTTGGTTGTGGAAATGGAAATCACATTGAGAAATCACTCGTCTTCTCGTTCATTGTGACTTGTGAGGGGTGAGAGAAAGAGACGTGCGATAAATTTATGTGACTACTTGATCATGCTAGTCTTGATCTATATATTTAACTAATTTTTATTTTCAAGTATGTTTAATATGTTAATATTTCTCTTTTCTGTTAAATAAAAAGTTTCTAATTTCTTTATTGTCAAAATAGGTGACTTAATTTTGACTTTGATGAATCGAAAAAACTCATCCAATTATAAGTAAATTCTTGAGCTTAGACAGACATGTTTATTTTTGAGGTTGGGATTAAGGGTGGAAATATTAATAGGAAATAAAACAGAGACACTCAAAACTGCAATGGCTGTTTGTAAGGTGATTTAGACAACACCGTAACACAATTAAAGAATAAAAACAAGTTAAAATCTAGTCTATTATATTGATCACTGCATGACACCGTCTAATTTTATACCAAACATTACCAATAGTATATGGGAGCACATTTTCATTTTATGTCACTCATTTAAAATCAATGCTGTAGAAGAATCCTTTCCATTCTACAAGAGATGAGGAAAAAGGGCTCTTAGATAACTCGAAGATGCAAGAATCCCGTACTTTTTTTCTAGAGAATCTTCTTTCGGGAAAATTAATACACGTGATCTGCATCAGATGCAGATCGATGGATGGAACCGACTTGTTCATCTGCAGTAACTGCTATGGATTCTGCATGATTTCGATGCCTGAACTTTGGTGGACACTTATAGACAAACATTTCTTGCTAATAAACATAAACAAAGAACTGAAAACTCTGTAGACAAATGGGATGGACTACAAGAAGAAAGGGAAAAAAAAAATCATATCTTCAACAACTGCATTCTTGTTTAAGAAAGTGAATCCCTGTCGAACAGAAGAATTGGTCGTGGGCAAATCTCAAGTTTATGAGACAGAATAAGAGCAACCCCTCAATATTTCATTGGCCTACCACATGACAGTGATACAATTTTTACTCCGATAGGACACTCTTTTTTGCCGTCCTTCTAATTCGTCTAGACAACTAGAGTTGGAAATAAGAGAACCCTGGTGAATTCCACAATATCTAGTTTTGTGTGATTTCTTTAAGCATTTCGACCACCTTTTTCATCATGGGCCGTTTGGCTGGTGTGCTTTCGGTGCAAAGCAGGGCCACCTTTAGAGCTGCAAGCATTTCTTTTCTCCAAGCAAAGGAGACGGTGCTTAGCCTTGCATCAAGAATCTGCTCAGGGGTTTCCCCTCGTGCAGGTGCAGTATGAACCCACCTCACCAAATCTATGCCTTCACCGAATTCCTCATCGACTGGTAGTCTAGTTGTAAGGATCTCGAGCAACACGACTCCATAGCTATAAACATTTCCCGGTGCTGTGACTTGCATTGTATACGCATACTCTGTTGAACAAGTTATACACAAAAAGCATTAGACAGTTTATAATGGAAGGAAAGAACTCATCACAAAGCGTTCCAAATTAAAGGGGTACCTGGAGGAATATATCCAAATGAACCGGCAACAGCACTAATACTTGCCGTCCCTCTGGCTGGGTCGAGGAGCTTTGATATTTCAACTTCACCGACCAAAGGCTTGAGATTGGAATCTAGAAATACATTACTGGATGAGATATCAAGGTGGATAATGGCCACAAGGTGGAGGAATGCTAACCCTTCTGCCACACTGATGGCAATGGCAAGTCTTGATGGCCAGTCGGGTTCGTAATCCAGTTTCTTCGTAGAATCATCAAGAAACTTAGCTAATGTCCCATTTGGAAAGTATTGGTGCAACAAAAGAACAATATCTTCATAGATCACAAACCCCATAGGTCTCATCAGATTGTCATGACACAGTTTACTCAGTTTTTCGAGTTCTCTTATCATCTTGTTTTGATGATGGATTATAGTTTTATCCATCAATTTTAGTTTTTTGACAGACAAAATCATCCCTGAAGGCATGTCCGCTCTGTAGACATTGCTAAACGTTCCGCTGCTGAGCTTGTTTGACTCCTTCATGGTTGCTTTGACAACTGCTTCAAACTCTATAGCCTGCCTGAGGTTTTCAATAAAAACATTTTCTGCTAATATTACTGGCTTATTACTAGTTTCATCAGCAGAAATTCCTTCATCTTTGGCCTCTTTTTCTTTTTTCTCCCTCATCATAAAAAACAAAATGACTACCATCACAGATACAAAAACTGCCAAACCAGAACCAATAACAGCTAATATGATCCTGTACGAGATCTTGCGATGGTAATCGTTATGACCATAAGCATCCAAACTTCCGCATGAAATACTTAATGGTTCACCACATAGCCCTTTGTTTCCAAGGAAGCTCGAACTTGGGCTCTTTTGAAACTGCACAAAGGAAGGTATTGGACCAGTAAAATGATTATTCGAAAAATTAACATCTATCAAACTAAGCATGCCCTTCAGTGTAGCCGGAATATTCCCACTGAACTGATTATTGGAGAAGTCCAAAGAAACCAACTTGTCGAGTCTTCCGAGCTCTTGGGGCAATTGACCATGGAGATTATTCGAGCTTAAATTAAGTGCAATCTGCAAGTTCTTTAAATGGCCAATCTCGGGAGGAATACTTCCTGTCAGATAGTTACTTCCCACTTGTAATTCGAGCAGTTTCGTGCAGTTCCCAATCTCATGAGGTAACTCCCCCCTTATCGAGTTATGACCTAGCAGCAGGTATTGCATTTTAGACATGTTGCAAATGCTCTCCGGTATAGAGCCATTGAATCTGTTATTGCTTAAATCGAGCTTGTTAAGGTTCTTGCCCGTGAGAATTGAAGTAAGAATCTCTCCAAACAAACTATTCCCAGAAACAATCAACTCCTGCAGATTGCTGAGTTCGCCAAACTCAGTTGGGATGGTTCCTGTGAAACCATTTGAGGCTAAATTAAGGAGAGTGAGATTAGAGCATTTTGCAAAGTCGGAGACAATCTCCCCTGAGAGATCATTTTTATTCGCTTCAAAGTACGTTAGGCTACTGATATTCCCAATCTCTTTAGGAATGTTCCCAGTGAACTTGTTGTTCCCAATCCTAATACTCGAAAGGCCTTTACATTTCCCGATTGATTCAGGAATACTGCCGGCCAATAAATTCTGTGTCAAAACCAAAACTTCAAGCTTCTCCATGGCAAAAATGCTCTCAGGAATTGGCCCCTCTAGCCTATTCGAATGAAGGTTCAACAACTCAAGTTCGGAAAGTGCACCTAGCTTATCCGGGATCACACCACTCAAATCGTTTTCGTACGCCGTAAAAACTCTCAGATTAGTCAAATTCCCCACCCACAATGGGATAGAACCGTTCAATCTATTAGTAAATATTTGAAAATCTTGCAAATTCTCTAGACTCTCAAGTTCATCAGGAATCGCTCCAGTTAGCCAATTATTCGAAAGATTCAATGCTCTAACATTTCGGAGTCTATTGAATTCCACAGGTATTGAGCCAACAAATTTATTAAACGACAAATCAATAAATTCAAGCTGAGATAAATTCCCAAAAACTGGTGGGATTATTCCATGGAAATTATTGTTTGAAAGATCAAGCCATTTTAGTCCTTTGAGCTCAGAAATTAGAGTGAGATTACCTTGAAGTCCATGCCCAGAAAGATCAAGCCTCTCCACCATTGAATTGTTCAAGCTGCAAACAATTCCAGGCCAAGAACAGTAATATGAATTATTAATTCCCCACCCAGATAATCTGAACTCATTCCCAATGGCTAATAATGTAATTTCATCATCAAACACCTGAGCAATCACAAGTTGAGACCTCAAGAACAACCCCAAAAGCAAAATATTCAACAAACTCAAAATTGCCATTTTGGGTTGCCTTCAATGAGTTAAAAGAAAGTCTTTAATCCTCTCAAAAAACCCAGAAGAGGAATCAAAAGATTAAATGTTTCCTAAGTTATGCTTAAAAAACCGACATGAAGTTTTCATTTTTCTTGAACTGGGCTTGTTTCAGAGTTCCTGAAATTCGTGAAAATAAATTGTAGTTGAAGAGCAAAGCTCAGAGACAATAAAATCAGACTAAAAAATGGAAATCTTGGTACAAAAAGAAGTGGATTTGAGGAAGAGGAGTTTATGCATTATAGAACCAAGGTTACGAGAAATTCTATATAAGAAATGGAGACTATGAAACAACAACGGTACTATGTTTCGGGTCAGGTGTTTTCTTTTCTGCACTGTCGGAGAGAAAGGGAGTTGTGAGTATAAATGAAAATCCAACTTTAGCATCACGAGAAATTAGCAGTCATGAGTCAATGTAACTGTTGGGGGTCTCAGCTTGCAACTGCTTCTTTGCTGTAGTTTCATTCTCTATGTATACATGCGTTGTGTGTATATGCACATATTGGTCTACTATTTTTCGTGATTTTACTTCTCAGTGAATGGTAGGATTGGACAAATCTCTCGAATCGAACCGATCGAATAGAACTCTAATCGAACCTAATCGAACCGAACCTGAGGATTCTTGTCAAATTAAATACTCGAACGAGTATCTGAATTAAGAATCGACGGGTACGATTCGATTCTCGGTTCTAGACCAAGAATCGAATAAGAACCGAATCTTTCTATTTTTTTTTTATATTGAATAAATCAAATTATTTTAATTTTAATTTTTTCTAAACAAATTAACAATTTCTAAATCCAAATTTTTGGCCCAATAATTTGTTTCATTTCTAATTTTTTAATTTTTGGCCAAATTACCCATTTTATTGTCTCATTTCTTAGTCGAACAAGATCCAACCCATTAAATAACCCTAAACACCTACATTAAAGTATATAACGCTGTCTTGACTCTCGCAGCCTCGCTAACATTCCAAAACTTATACAATCGTCGACCGACGCTGTTACCTCCAATCGAAACTGTGACCTCCGCCAACCAAAATTTTGACCGTAGCGATCATTTAAATAAAGTAGTCTACTAGTCCCTGACATTTCAAAACAATTGAATATGTCATTAGTTGTATTTATATAATGTTGTTATAAATGTCAAAAAGTTTAATTGTAGTACAAAACCGAATGGAACCGAACCGAACCGAACTGAATCGAACCCGAACAGTTCCATAATTTGGCCCAATAATTTGTTTCATTTCTAATTTTTTAATTTTTGGCCAAATTACCCATTTTATTGTCTCATTTCTTAGTCGAACAAGATCCAACCCATTAAATAACCCTAAACACCTACATTAAAGTATATAACGCTGTCTTGACTCTCGCAGCCTCGCTAACATTCCAAAACTTATACAATCGTCGACCGACGCTGTTACCTCCAATCGAAACTGTGACCTCCGCCAACCAAAATTTTGACCGTAGCGATCATTTAAATAAAGTAGTCTACTAGTCCCTGACATTTCAAAACAATTGAATATGTCATTAGTTGTATTTATATAATGTTGTTATAAATGTTAAAAAATTTAATTATAGTATAGAACCGAACTCGAATGGTCCCATAATTATATTTGGACCCGACGTTTCCATTTGCTAAATACCTAAAAATTTTGGTTCGGTTCGGTTCTCTTTTTTATTCTAAAGAGAACCGAACCGAGCCGACCCGCGCCCACCCCTAGTGTATAGGATAGATAGAGGTGCTCGACTTTAAAGCATCTATTTGATCGTGCCGGGGACTGTCAATTTTTTTTCCAATTTATGTCTTTGAACTATTACCATTGAGCCTAACGTCAACCCATTCGTGTTAACCCACGACAAAGCCAACCCATCGTGCAGCTTGAGTCTAAAAAGTCTCACATGTTTTAAGCCGTGTTTTGTATTATTACTCATCCATTTTTTTGCTCATTTTAAATTATAATTGGAATAAATGCACAAATATTATTACGTAGGGGTTCATTATGTATCAAAATTAAGTGAAGACGATGTAATTTTAAAATATTTCAAATTATCAATTTATGAATTCAATATTGAGATTATCATAAATCAAATTTCACATTCAAATGTACATCTTATGGTCAATAATCAAAGAGAAAGAAGACAATAAAAAATTTGATAAGTTCCCGTGAAAGAACACAAACAAAAATTTGATAAGTTTTTGTTAAGGTAATCATCGATTTAGTCTAATCTTATTTTAGCTTTTTGGATGAATTACTTACACCTTCACATAATATTAATTGCAATATTATTTTTCAGTATAGTCTTACAAGCGCTTCAATATAATAATAAGAAAATTCCAACCCTAAACTTTACCTCTCCTACAAAATAATATTAGCAATACTTGCATTTCCTCTCCTCCTTCATTAACAGCGGCGCAACCAGCCTAAAACCTACGAGAAGTGTTTGAGCTTTTTGTCCCACATGGCCAATCCAGTGTAAGATAAATATTCACGTGACTCCTGAGGTTTTTCTCTAACGACCCTTCCTGGTCCTCCTGGATTCATTGTGTTGAAGTATTGCCTCTTCGATACTCATGTACTTTAATTTTTCGTGTCAAGAGTTCAATTATGGTTCTTGTTGGATTTTTGACAATGACGTTCTAAACGAATGATTCTGTGACTCTAAACTACAATTGGTCTTTAATACCTTTTAATTCGTTGTTAAACCTTCCAAGAAAGCTCCTTAGGACATGAAATTAACTGTAGTTTTTGACTTGTTTCCAATGCTATGATGTCAATCACGAATTTTCATTGGACCACTCGTTAAGAGTAAGTATTCTGGGGTATGAATATTCATTTTGTAGAGTGCGTTTAGAAGGTTCTTAAAAAGTTCTTACATGACCTCTATTTATAGACAAATTGAGGTGGTTAGACAAGACACGTACACGTATCATTCATCAAAGGTGGCTCATATAGATCATCCCATATTTGATGGTAAAAATTAGTTATGAATTCAAAGTGTATCACCCCATGTGTTCAACATGTCTTGGTCTATTCAACATGGCTTGATGATTTTTTATTTTGGTGATATTGTTCTGACACAATTTCTATTCGCCTGAGTAGTATTTGAGATGCTCAAATTTTACCGTTTTTTCGTTATATTTTGGAAGATAGACGTCCAAACTAAACCTCAAGCGCCCACAGTGAGAGGTCGAATATGTTTTTAAGAAACTATGTTCACACAGATCTCGGTTTCAAATTTCATTTGATTTTTTTATTACTTGCTCTATTGTAATTTAGATTAACTTGTTCTGCTTCAGAATTATTTAATTTGCTATATTTTGGCTAATATTCGGTAAGCTATTTCAAATTCGGTATTTATGTTCATTGCATATTCGATATCTATGTTTGTAGCATATCCGGTATGTGTAAATCCAGTATGTTTGTTTGTTACATATCTGATACGTGCAAATTCGATATTTCTATTAGTTACAAATTCGATATGTGTCCATCCGATATTTGTTACAGTCACTAAATTTTTTTCCTAACGCCTAGCTCCATGAAATCAGGCCATTAAATTTCTTAATTTTTTAGCATTGGACATATATTCTCTCTCCATTCTTAATGTTTTAGCATTGGACATATGTTATCTCTTCTACGATGATTTTGTCACATTGCATCGATGTATGTTTTAATAAAATCGTCATCATGACGTGGTCACTACAATTCCCTACTCATGTGGATTCGACACAATCTTTTATTATTTTTTTAAGATGTCTCAATGATGATTGTCGTATGTAAATTTAAGCCTTGTTTGATTCCTATTCTTTGAAAAAAATACATTTTTAAATAATATTTTGACATCATTTCAAACACACATTCTTCAATCAAATAATATTATAGTAAATAAATAAAAAAATTCTTATTAAACCACACATTTTCCATCAATACACTCATTCTTATCAAAAGAATGGAGCTCAAACAAGGGCTAAATAAAAATGATTACAAAATAATTCAATTTCTACCAGACAAATATATAAACTTAGAGCCTGTTTGGGGCTCATTATTGGTCCAAAAAAATGAAAAATCTTACCGTTGGAGCACACAAAACCAAGGCATTGTGAGAGAGAAGTCAACAGGTGGGACCCTTCAACGATAAAAATTCTTCTAATAATACAGAAATAATGTGCATCAAACAGCCTTTTATTATAATCACAAGAATAAATCATATTACTTTCCATCCACACTTCTGTAACTTTTGTTGTATGATTGAAGAGTAATGCTCCTCTCCCAGATCTGTAAAAGGTCTGGTAGAGGTCTCCTCTTCCATTTTCTCTCACCTCGGCGGTCCTATGATTAAAAAAATACCCTCCAAAAACCCACCCCCACCTTGAACTGTGAGAGGGGCTGCACTACCAAACCTCTTACAGGTCTGGTAGTATAGCATGGTCCTTGAAGTAATTGTCATTATTATACACTCAAATCCTTCGTATTAGACATATAGAAGGGAAGACAAAGTGGGACCCACATTAATGTGTAGATGGTCTAACGTTATAATACCAACCTTGCTACACTAACAGGGGCCAAGGCAAGCACTGTGACAGGGGCTGAGGTCACAGGGGCCTCCTTGTTTGAGCAGCATAATTCTTATTAGACAAGTAGGGTCAAGCGCAGGTGAAGAAGGTTGGTAGCCACCACGGCACCACCTCATAAAAGGCTGAAAAGACTGGAAAAAGTAAAAGTGGGAGTAAAATAATTGCTTAACATCAAGTTTTAATTCATTGGTGTTCTCTTACACATAATATACTTATTAATCACACGTGTAAGGGATGAGAAGTCATTATATTTGAGAGTGGACTAGTTTGATTCGATTTAATTTTAGGTATCATTGGGAATTACATATAAAATCAAATTGTTTTGTAGCAAGTGATAGAATCGAATAAAATAGAACTAGATTAGAGATTGAGCTGTTATTTCTATATATAATGGAAAAAAGTACACCTTCCTCTAAAATGTTTAGTGATGAATGAAATGAACAATGACTTGGATGATTATTGAGGAGGGATTGTATATGTCATACATAAGTTATGAATAGTGACCATAAAAATGATCATGAATCAATAAAAAATCTCATGAAACGAATGATGACAAGGGCAGGAATCATGGAACTGGGAGGGAAAAAATGGCTCTACATCCTGCAACGTGTCCATTGAATTGATGACACCACTTTGCCTTAATCAAAAGATATAATCATTTCATTAAGCTTTAGTAAATTTTTTTTGGTACCAACTGATTTAGGGGTGGGGAGTAAAATTTCCCTCCATTTATTTTACTTGGGTAGTTTTGTCAGCATATTTCATTGCACAAGATGTTAGATTTATGGATTTTTTATTTTTTTTGGAGACTTAGCAAAGCACCGATCGCTCTTGTAGAAAACATTATTTGTTCCAAATTATTT